TTTTAGAATTTTTCCGACAACGGATTCGTACTCAGCAGGTACGAATACACTATAAAACATGTTTTTTGTGTCAAAATTTAAAATTTTTTACCCCCGAATTTTTCCAAAGGGGTACCCCTCCTGGGGGATTTTCGGGATTTTTTAAATCGCCATAACTTTGGAAGGGATAGGGATTTTTGCATGCGGGTTACTTTATAAAATTGGGCAAAAAATTAGGAATTTTTTGAGATAAAAAAATTTCGAAAAAAGTCAAAACTGACCCGTAGGGGCCAATTTTCGAAAAACCCAAAATTTTTCGGGTTTTTGAAAATTTTTCGTGATTTTTGCAAGTGGTTAAGGCTATGTGTATTTTTCCTGGATTGAGCAGATTTTTCTGCATCGGATAGGATTTTAAAATTTCCAAAAAAGGGCTAGGCGAGGGCCGAAGGCCCGAGCTGACACACATCTAAAAGGAAGGGCGAGGGCCGAAGGCCCGAGCTGACACACATCTAAAAGGAAGGGCGAGGGCCGAAGGCCCGAGCTGACACCCATCTAAAAGGGAAGGCGAGGGCCGAAGGCCCGAGCTGACACCCATCTAAAAGGAAGGGCGAGGGCCGAAGGCCCGAGCTGAAAGCCATCTAAAAGAGAGGGTGAGGGCCGAAGGCATCGGATAAGTTTTAAAATTTTTAAAAATTTATTTTTCTGTATCTAATAAGAATTTAAAATTTTCAAAAAAGATATACTTTAGGTGAGATATGATTTTTTGAAAATTTTAGTGAATTTTTCATGCAGAAATTTCCGGCTAAAAAATTTTAATTTTAAAAATCAAAATAGATATGGCAAATGAGATATCATTCGAAAGCTCTTATCGAGCTGGGTATAAAAATATTTTTTTCAAAATTTTTCGGTACATTTTGACGAAGTTACAAATGTTCGAAAATTTGTGGGTTGAGTACCGTACCCGGAGAATGATGGGACGGAAAGAGGAAAAATGATTGACAGTAGAAGTTGATGGCAGAGAGACGAAATTTTTCTCCGTCTCTAACCATGCCGGGCAAACCGGTGAAGAACTTAGGGGTGAATTTTGTATATTGGGGAAAATTTTGTGGTAAGATAAGCTGGATCCTGTTATGAATCCGAAGCAGAAATTGCTTCGTGAAGCAGTTTCTGCTTCGAAATTTTGTTCTCCTTGAGAGGATGAGTCCAATCGAGGGGAAGACGAGGGCTAAGGCCCGAAGTGACTCTAAGTGAAAGGATGAGTCCGAATAAAGAAATGACAAGGGTCTAAGTGGAAGGATGAGTCCGAAGTGACTCAAAGTGAGAGATGAACCCGAATAAAGAAAAGACAATGGTCTAAGTGGAAGGATGAGTCCGAAGTGACTCTAAGTGAAAGGATGAGTCCTAATAATGAAAAAGACAAGGGTCTAAGTGGAAGGATGAGTCTAAAAGGAAGGGCGAGGGCCGAAGGCCCGAGCTGACACCCATCTAAAAGGAAGGGCGAGGGCCGAAGGCCCGAGCTGACACCCATCTAAAAGGGAGGGCGAGGGCCGAAGGCCCGAGCTGACACCCATCTAAAAAGAAGGGCGAGGGCCGAAGGCCCGAGCTGACACCCATCTAAAAGGTAGGGCCAAAGGGTGGAAGGATGAGTCTAAGTGGAAGGATGAGTCCAAATGGGAGGAAGACGAGGGCCGAAGGCCCGAAGTGACTCTAAGTGGAAGGATGAGTCCAAATGAGGGGAAGACGAGGGCCGAAGTCCCGAAGTGACTCTAAATGGATGGATGAGTCCCAACTCAAGGCTAATCTTTTGTTCCAGGCATAAAAAATTACTAGCGGCGCGCGAAGCGCGCCCCCAAAGCCGTTAGGCTTTCCAACGGGCAGAAGTATCGTAATTTAAAGAACCCCCCGATGTTTTTTACCGCCACAGTATCGTAATAGGCACCCCAGTGGCCAAACCCATCGCTAGTTTAATATATTATATAAAAGTATTGGTAAAATTTGTCGGAAAAACTCAAGCTCTTTCCAGAGTATAGATACGGGCATGAAAGTTTGACATGTCCGGGGTCAAATTTTATGCCGCACCTAGGAAAATTATGGACGGAAGATTTTGGAACCCCCATGGTACCTAAATAATATAGGTGCCGGGGCTATCTCGGGACTGAGTGGACTTAGAGGAAAATTTCTGCTGGTAGGATTTTAAGTTGGACCAAGCTAATATATGTAGGAAAAAACTCGAAGTCGAAATTCGAATTTGGAGGGTACTTATGCTTGACACAAAATTCAGACATTTCCTGTGAATTGTCGCATGTGTCGGGATTTAAAATTCGGCTTTTTTTTAACTAACTCGAAAATGGATAAAGATATGGGAAAACTTCTGCTGGTAGGAAATTAAGTTGGGATAGGTAGATATGGGTAGGAAAAATTTCAAATCCGAAATTCGAACTTTAGGGGTACTTATAGGGGGGCAAAAATTTTTGTAAGAAAATTGTCTTACCGATAATTGTCGGATTTCTCTAAATTGAGGAAAGCCAGGAGGCAAATCTCATAGGTGAGAGAGAAATTTTGATTGATAGGAGAAATTTCGAGTTAAAATAGTGGGATCTCGAAACTTAAGCAAGTTTCGAGTTGAGGGAGGGTTTATTGATAGTGGAATAAGGGGGAATTCGAAATTAGGGATCCGGGATTTCGGGATTTTTAGGGATTTTCGAATATGGTCGAATGAGTAGTCATTCGAAAGCGGATAATGAGGGGAGTTGAATGGGATAAATGATAAGTATAAAAGTCGAAGTTCGGAGTTCGAACTTCGAAATCCGGGTTTTTCGGGGTTGGGGGATATGGGTGAGTGGGTAGTCATTCAAGAGCTGGAACTGAGGGGAGTCTAATGGGATAAAGGATAAGGATTAAAGTCGAATTTCGAATAAGGGGGAATTCGAAATTAGGGATCCGGGATTTCGGGATTTTTAGGGATTTTCGAATATGGTCGAATGAGTAGTCATTCGAAAGCGGATAATGAGGGGAGTTGAATGGGATATATGGTAAAGCCGAAAGTCGAAGTTCAGAGTTCGAACTTCGAAATCCGGGTTTTTCGGGATTTGTGGATATGGGTGAGTGGGTATTCGTTCGAGAGCGGATAATGAGGGGAGTCTAAAGGGATAAGGGATAAGTATGAAAGTCGAAGTTCTCCGATGCCGAAGGACGAGGAACCGGCGGGCCGAAGGCCCGCCGGTTGGCGAGGGCCGAAGGCCCGAGCTTTCATTACATCTAAAATGCAGAGCAATAGTCAAAGGCAGAGCATAGATCCTCCGAGGCCGCAGGCCGAGGAGTAGGCGAGGGCCGAAGGCCCGAGCATTCATTACATCTAAAAGGCAGAGCAAAAGTCAAAGGCAGAGCATAGATCTTCCGAGGCCGAAGGCCGAGGAGTTGGCGGGCCAAAGGCCCGCCGTAGGCGAGGGCCGAAGGCCCGAGCATTCATTACATCTAAAAGGCAGAGCAATAGTCAAAGGAAGAGCATTCATCGGCCTTTGGCCCCGGCGGGCCGAAGGCCCGCCGGTTGGCGAGGGCCGAAGGCCCGAGCTTTCATTACATCTAAAAGGCAGAGCAATTGGGAAGGAAGAGTCCAATCGAAGGGAAGACGAGGGCCGAAGGCCCGAAGTGACTCTAATTGAAGGATGAGTCCAATCGAAGGGAAGACGAGGGCCGAAGGCCCGAAGTGACTCTAATTGGAAGGATGAGTCCCAACGGGGAAAGACGGGGCGAGGGCCGAAGGCCCGAAGTGAATCTAATTGAAAGGATGAGTCCAATAGAGGGGAAGACGAGGGCCGAAGGCCCGAAGTGACTCTAAGTGGAAGGATGAGTCCCAACGGGGAAAGACGAGGCGAGGGCCGAAGGCCCGAGCTTCAACCCATCCCGGAAGACAGAACAAATATCGGCGAGGGCCGGAGGCCCGAAGCAATGAAAAGGCAGAGCTAAATAAATATATTCCAGGCATCCAAACATTCTAGCAGCGCGCGAAGCGCGCCCCAAAGCCGTTAGGCTTTCCAACGGGCAGAGTCCGAAAAAAATTGCCAGAGTATCCTAATAGGAATTGCATACGTAAGTTACCGCCATCGCATACGTAACCCATAGCTAGTTTAATATATTATATAAAAGTATTGGTAAAAAGTGTCGGAAAAACTCAAGCTCTTTCCAGAGTAGAGATACGGGCTTGAAAGTTTGACATGTCCGGGGTCAAATTTTATGCCGCACCTAGGAAAATTATGGACGGAAGATTTTGGAACCCCCATGGTACCTAAATAATAGAGGTACCGGGGATATCTCCGGAATGGGTACAGTTAGAAGAAAATTTCTGCTGGTAGGATTTTAAGTTGGACCAAGCTAATATATGTAGGAAAAAACTCGAAGTCGAAATTCGAATTTGGAGGGTACTTATGCTTGACACAAAATTCAGACATTTCCTGTGAATTGTCGCATGTGTCGGGATTTAAAATTCGGCTTTTTTTTAAATAACTCGAAAATGGATAAAGATATGGGAAAACTTCTGCTGGTAGGAAATTAAGTTGGGATAGGTAGATATGGGTAGGAAAAATTTCAAATCCGAAATTCAAACTTTAGGGGTACTTATAGGGGGGCAAAAATTTTTGTAAGAAAATTGTCTTACCGATAATTGTCGGATTTCTCTAAAATGAGGAAATCCTAAGGGCAAATCTCATAGGTGAGAGAGAAATTTTGATTGATGGGAGAAATTTCGAGTTAAAATAGTGGGATTTCGAAACTTAAGCAAGTTTCGAGTTGAGGGAGGGTAATTTGGGGGAAATTATATGGGGATTTCGAAATTAGGGATCCGGGATTTCGGGATTTTTAGGGATTATCGAATATGGTCGAATGAGTATTCATTCGAAAGCGGATAAAGAGGGGAGTTGAATGGGATATATGGTAAAGCCGAAAGTCGAAGTTCGGAGTTCGAACTTCGAAATCCGGGATTTTCGGGGTTAAGATATATGGGTGTGTGGGTAGTCGTTCGAGAGCTGGGAGTGAGGGGAGTTTAGAGGGATAAGGTATAAGGATAAAAGTCGAAGTTCGAAGTCGAACTTGAAATCCGGGATTTTCGGGATTGGGAGGTATGGGCAAGAGGGTAGTCGTCCGAGAGCTGGGTTTGAGGGGAGTTGAAAGGGATAAGGGATAAAGCCGAAAGTCGAAGTTCGGAGTTCGAACTTCGAAATACGGGATTTTCGGCATTGGGAATTGGGGTCGAATGAGTACTCATTAAAAAGGGGATAATGAGGAGAGCCTAGTGGGATATCGCATAATGTCTAAAGTCGAACTTCGGAGTTCGAACCTCGAAATCCGGGATTTTCGGGTTTGGGAAGTATGGGTGAGTGGGTTGTCATTCAAGAGGGGATGATCAGGGGAGTTGAATGGGATAAAGGATTAAGAAGAAAGTCGAAGTTCGGAGTTCGAACTTCGAAATCCGGGATTTTCGGGATAAGGAAGTATGGGCAAGAGGGTAGTCGTTCGACAGCTGGAAGTGAGGGGAGTCTAATGGGATATAGGATTAAGTCGAAAGTCGAAGTTCGAGTTCGAACTTCTAAATCCGGGATTTTCGGGGGTGGGAAGTAAGGTCGATGAGTATTCATTCAAGAGGGTATGATCAGGGGAGTCTAATGAGATATAGGATAATGTTGAAAGTCGAAGTTCGGAGTTCGAACTTCGAAATCCGGGATTTGAGATTTAAGTGGATATAGCTGAATGAGTACTCATTCAAGAGGGGATAATGAGGGGAGTTCAATGGGATTAAAAAAATTTCGAATTTCGAAGTTTTTAGTAAAGTATTCGCGATTTGAGTCTGAGACTGAAATGGTTTTCAGACTCTAACTTTGTTAAAAAAATTTTTAGAATTTTTCCGACAACGGATTCGTACTCAGCAGGTACGAATACACTATAAAACATGTTTTTTGTGTCAAAATTTAAAATTTTTTACCCCCGAATTTTTCCAAAGGGGTACCCCTCCTGGGGGATTTTCGGGATTTTTTAAATCGCCATAACTTTGGAAGGGATAGGGATTTTTGCATGCGGGTTACTTTATAAAATTGGGCAAAAAATTAGGAATTTTTTGAGATAAAAAAATTTCGAAAAAAGTCAAAACTGACCCGTAGGGGCCAATTTTCGAAAAACCCAAAATTTTTCGGGTTTTTGAAAATTTTTCGTGATTTTTGCAAGTGGTTAAGGCTATGTGTATTTTTCCTGGATTGAGCAGATTTTTCTGCATCGGATAGGATTTTAAAATTTCCAAAAAAGGGCTAGGCGAGGGCCGAAGGCCCGAGCTGACACACATCTAAAAGGAAGGGCGAGGGCCGAAGGCCCGAGCTGACACACATCTAAAAGGAAGGGCGAGGGCCGAAGGCCCGAGCTGACACCCATCTAAAAGGGAAGGCGAGGGCCGAAGGCCCGAGCTGACACCCATCTAAAAGGAAGGGCGAGGGCCGAAGGCCCGAGCTGAAAGCCATCTAAAAGAGAGGGTGAGGGCCGAAGGCAACGGATAAGTTTTAAAATTTTTAAAAATTTATTTTTCTGTATCTAATAAGAATTTAAAATTTTCAAAAAAGATATACTTTAGGTGAGATATGATTTTTTGAAAATTTTAGTGAATTTTTCATGCAGAAATTTCCGGCTAAAAAATTTTAATTTTAAAAATCAAAATAGATATGGCAAATGAGATATCATTCGAAAGCTCTTATCGAGCTGGGTATAAAAATATTTTTTTCAAAATTTTTCGGTACATTTTGACGAAGTTACAAATGTTCGAAAATTTGTGGGTTGAGTACCGTACCCGGAGAATGATGGGACGGAAAGAGGAAAAATGATTGACAGTAGAAGTTGATGGCAGAGAGACGAAATTTTTCTCCGTCTCTAACCATGCCGGGCAAACCGGTGAAGAACTTAGGGGTGAATTTTGTATATTGGGGAAAATTTTGTGGTAAGATAAGCTGGATCCTGTTATGAATCCGAAGCAGAAATTGCTTCGTGAAGCAGTTTCTGCTTCGAAATTTTGTTCTCCTTGAGAGGATGAGTCCAATCGAGGGGAAGACGAGGGCTAAGGCCCGAAGTGACTCTAAGTGAAAGGATGAGTCCGAATAAAGAAATGACAAGGGTCTAAGTGGAAGGATGAGTCCGAAGTGACTCAAAGTGAGAGATGAACCCGAATAAAGAAAAGACAATGGTCTAAGTGGAAGGATGAGTCCGAAGTGACTCTAAGTGAAAGGATGAGTCCTAATAATGAAAAAGACAAGGGTCTAAGTGGAAGGATGAGTCTAAAAGGAAGGGCGAGGGCCGAAGGCCCGAGCTGACACCCATCTAAAAGGAAGGGCGAGGGCCGAAGGCCCGAGCTGACACCCATCTAAAAGGGAGGGCGAGGGCCGAAGGCCCGAGCTGACACCCATCTAAAAAGAAGGGCGAGGGCCGAAGGCCCGAGCTGACACCCATCTAAAAGGTAGGGCCAAAGGGTGGAAGGATGAGTCTAAGTGGAAGGATGAGTCCAAATGGGAGGAAGACGAGGGCCGAAGGCCCGAAGTGACTCTAAGTGGAAGGATGAGTCCAAATGAGGGGAAGACGAGGGCCGAAGTCCCGAAGTGACTCTAAATGGATGGATGAGTCCCAACTCAAGGCTAATCTTTTGTTCCAGGCATAAAAAATTACTAGCGGCGCGCGAAGCGCGCCCCCAAAGCCGTTAGGCTTTCCAACGGGCAGAAGTATCGTAATTTAAAGAACCCCCCGATGTTTTTTACCGCCACAGTATCGTAATAGGCACCCCAGTGGCCAAACCCATCGCTAGTTTAATATATTATATAAAAGTATTGGTAAAATTTGTCGGAAAAACTCAAGCTCTTTCCAGAGTATAGATACGGGCATGAAAGTTTGACATGTCCGGGGTCAAATTTTATGCCGCACCTAGGAAAATTATGGACGGAAGATTTTGGAACCCCCATGGTACCTAAATAATATAGGTGCCGGGGCTATCTCGGGACTGAGTGGACTTAGAGGAAAATTTCTGCTGGTAGGATTTTAAGTTGGACCAAGCTAATATATGTAGGAAAAAACTCGAAGTCGAAATTCGAATTTGGAGGGTACTTATGCTTGACACAAAATTCAGACATTTCCTGTGAATTGTCGCATGTGTCGGGATTTAAAATTCGGCTTTTTTTTAACTAACTCGAAAATGGATAAAGATATGGGAAAACTTCTGCTGGTAGGAAATTAAGTTGGGATAGGTAGATATGGGTAGGAAAAATTTCAAATCCGAAATTCGAACTTTAGGGGTACTTATAGGGGGGCAAAAATTTTTGTAAGAAAATTGTCTTACCGATAATTGTCGGATTTCTCTAAATTGAGGAAAGCCAGGAGGCAAATCTCATAGGTGAGAGAGAAATTTTGATTGATAGGAGAAATTTCGAGTTAAAATAGTGGGATCTCGAAACTTAAGCAAGTTTCGAGTTGAGGGAGGGTTTATTGATAGTGGAATAAGGGGGAATTCGAAATTAGGGATCCGGGATTTCGGGATTTTTAGGGATTTTCGAATATGGTCGAATGAGTAGTCATTCGAAAGCGGATAATGAGGGGAGTTGAATGGGATAAATGATAAGTATAAAAGTCGAAGTTCGGAGTTCGAACTTCGAAATCCGGGTTTTTCGGGGTTGGGGGATATGGGTGAGTGGGTAGTCATTCAAGAGCTGGAACTGAGGGGAGTCTAATGGGATAAAGGATAAGGATTAAAGTCGAATTTCGAATAAGGGGGAATTCGAAATTAGGGATCCGGGATTTCGGGATTTTTAGGGATTTTCGAATATGGTCGAATGAGTAGTCATTCGAAAGCGGATAATGAGGGGAGTTGAATGGGATAAATGATAAGTATAAAAGTCGAAGTTCGGAGTTCGAACTTCGAAATCCGGGTTTTTCGGGGTTGGGGGATATGGGTGAGTGGGTAGTCATTCAAGAGCTGGAACTGAGGGGAGTCTAATGGGATAAAGGATAAGGATTAAAGTCGAATTTCGAAGTCGAACTTCGAAATCCGGGTTTTTCGGGGTTGGGGGATATGGGTGAGTGGGTAGTCATTCAAGAGCTGGAACTGAGGGGAGTCTAATGGGATAAAGGATAAGGATTAAAGTCGAATTTCGAAGTCGAACTTCGAAATCCGGTATTTTCGGGAGTGGGGGATATGGGCAAGAGGATAGTCATTCAAGAGGGGATAGTGAGGGGAGTCTAATGGGATAAGGGATAATGTCGAAATTCGAAGTTCGGTGTTCGAACTTCGAAATCCGGGATTTTCGGGGTTTGGGGATATTCGCAAGTGTGTAGTCATTCAAGAGGGGATTATCAGGGGAGTCTATCGGGATAAAAGATAAAGTCTAAATTCGAAGTTTCGCGTTCGAACTTCGAAATCAGGGATTTACGAGGTTGGGGGATATGGGTGAGTGGGTAGTCATTCAAGAGCTGGGACTGAGGGGAGTCTAATGGGATAAGGGATTAAGCCTAAAGTCGAAGTTCGGAGTTCGAACTTCGAAATCCGGTATTTTCGGGATTGGGAAGTGGGGTCGAATGAGTACACATTCAAGAGGGGTTAATGAGGGGAGCTTAGTGGGATAAAGGATCAAGCTGAAAGTCGAAGTTCGGAGTTCGAACTTCGAAATCCGGGATTTTCGGGATTGGGAAGTACGGTCGAATGAGTAATCATTCAAGAGCAAATAATGAGGGGAGCTTATTGGGATATAGGATAATGTCGAAAGTCGAAGTTCGGAGTTCGAACTACGAAATCCGGGATTTTCGGGATTTGAGATTAAAGTGGATATGGGTGAATGAGTAGTCATTCAAAAGGGGATAATGAGGGGCTTCGAAAAAGGTATAATATGTCGGGGGTCTGTTTGAGTCTGAAAAAGTTATGGCCAATGTTCGCAAATGTCGCGAAATTTTTTGGACTATAACTTTTTTGAAAAATTTTTTAGAATTTTTCTGACACCTGATAGGATTTAGCGCATATCATTCCACCATATAGGATATTTTTTGGTCAAAATTCGAAAATTTTTGACCCCTCGAATTTTTCAAAAGGGGGATTTTTTAGGGGATCATAACTTTTTGTGGGATTATCGGAATGTGATGGGGT